CACCGGTGGATCAATCAGCAATGTCAAAACTTTAACCATTTCCATTTAAAAAAATAATAATAAAAATTGGAATTGGAAAAAATGGAAATTAACCCCCCCCCTCCCCACAAAACCCTCAGTATTCTGCTGCGCTGTGGAATACTGACTGGGGGTTAGGAACCGCTCACTGAGAAGAAGAAATTCAGGGAGACTAAGTTACCCGACTTTTCACACCCAAAACCACCAATCGCTGTCAGCTGGGTTCTACCCACAATAAATGACACAGAATCAGCAAATAATACTAGGCTATTAATTATATATCTATGAAAATATTCTCTGCAATGCAATACTTATTTATATATAAGCCATTAAGTTAATTTGCTATTTATTACACTTTATATAGACACACAGGATTATATTTAATCGGTGTTATTCTAGTCTGTCTAAGCATTTGTGCACCTCACCTTTTGATCTGCTCCTCGATCTGGCGGACGAGCCGAGACTCTGCCCCGTGAGCCTGTGGCTCTGGCGGGGGCTCCGCTGGCGGGGGGCCGTTCACCTCAGGGCTGCCGCGGTCCAGCAGCGAGCGCACCCGCTTGGAACGCATGTCCAGGATGGTGTCGGAGTAGCCAACGTCCTCTAGGTACCTGGGGAGAGGGGTCATGTGACATTGTGGGAACCGTCCTTCATACCAATACGACATCGGACACGCAGACATGCGTCTGAACTATTACCACGAGGTATGAACCCATTATACAAGAGGAGAGGGGGACCCAAACTTTCCACCTCTGCAAAACAGTAGCCACAGAGCTATTGTCTCTCTCTCTCACACACACACACACACACACACACACACACACACAGCTACATAATTTTTCTCCCCACTGCCTTCCTTTATTTCCAGCATAACCCCAAATCCCAGAAGAGAATGTGCTCTGGTACCATCAGGAAGGTACTTAAACTAAATTGCTAAATGAAAAAAAATATATTAAAAACTCACTTTAATTAATTCACTGTAAGCCAATTACACAACTGAACGCAACTCTTCAAATGCTCACAAAGACGACATACAGAATTACTGTTTTGGGTGCGTGCCATATAATTCCTATGTAATTATTAATCATTTTTCTGTGCTGTGATTATCAAATCAATCCTGATCAATGAGTACCCACAATAACCCTAAAATCACATGGTCTGGGAAAAAATGCCCCATGTGAAATCACAGACTGAGATCTGATATGGTATAGAATATTCTGACTGTTTATGATAAAGATAAGTCACTCATATTCTTCACTTCACTATATGCACAAGAACAGTGTTCACTGATCAGTGCTAAACTGCTTACCAGAACTAAATCAGTATCAAACTAGTATGCTAATGTAAGTTACCTGACAGAACTGTCCTTTGGACCTGGACTTCGTCATACCAGTCTATTTTTGCATATGTCACACTGCACCACAGACCCCCACTTGTTTGAGAAAACGCCAGACCTCTGACCATTTTGGATAGGTCTTTTTGCCCGGACGACGTGCCGCTGTGTGTCACTATTGGCAGTCTGGTAATACAGACCGAAAACAGGAAGTCCTGCAATTCTGCCATATGCCAAGTAACAGTTGTACTTTATGCAGATCCATGTTTCTTATTTGAATTGATTTTCATTTTCAAATTTAAATGATTGAATATTTGTTTCAGCTCTGATCATAAATACGAAGCATTTTTTAAAAGTTGCATCAAGATATTATGCAGTCTAAGCACCACCCGAAATAATACACAATGTACAGTTGGCTTGTACAAGCAAACTTCAGACAAACCTATGATATAATAAATAAATAAAACGAGCATTTGTTTGTATGTATGTGTGTGTGTGTGTGTGTGTGTGTGTGTGTGTGTATATATATTTATTTATTTTTTTTTACTTGCGCAGCAGTTGACGCCCCTCCTTCCAGGACATCTGATTGGCCGGTTCAGCATCAGGCTCGCCTGGGCCATTGGGAACTGTCCAGACGAAAGAGGACAACAGGAAGTCCGTATGACTCACTCATAGGCATGTTCAGCAGAAGGCCTGCCCTCACCCACCACTTCACGGTCTCGAACGTCCCACCCTGCACGCACACACACACACACACACACACACCCATCTCTCCCACCTTGTTCAGCTTCCGCTTCCACTTTCTTCTCTCCGGTGCTCTGCTCGGTTCCTGCCTTGAGCTTCTGGTGTTTAGCCCTGAGGACACGCAAGCCATGCGGAGGATAGAGAATCAGCCCAAATTTCTCCCCCCCCCCGAATTCCTTCCCACCAGCAACACCCTCCACATCCTCCTGTTTATCGCAAACGAAAGCCATTTCGTTTGTTCCTTCCTGCCCCAGTTAAAAAAAAAAAAATCCCTCCCCTGTTCTTCTTCATCCCTTTTCCTGGCTCTCGCACCCTCACGCATCCTCACACACACCTTCTCACCTCTCCTGTTTGAGCGCGTACTCCAGCATCTTGATCCTCCGCACCAGGTCCTGTTTCATGTTCTCCTGACCTTTCCTCTCGCCCTGCAGGAAAGCCACCTGCGCCTGCATTCGCACCGGAAAGGCCATCAGATCACTGCGCAGCTGCAGCCGCGACCCCATTCTCTCAATGCGAGGGTCTGTTACGCAACAGAGCTTCACGCTGAATGAATATGCAGCATAAAACACAGAGCAGCGTTTAACAGTTTAGTCGCGATGCTGCCAAGAGACAATTATGCAACGGCGCATCTTAAAAGCATATTAGATCTGAACAAGTGCAGCGCTTTAATATATTCAGAAAAAGTAAACTGATAATACAGCGACTTCAACCTTAGTTTGTAACACAGGCTTGAGTTTCTTTACTGCCCTCTAGTGGCTGCAATAGGCTTTCCAAAATTTTGGAACCAGGCCACAGTGCCTACATTGAGTATATACCAGACAGACATTTGTTAGGAGCTACTGAAGAAATCTTCTTGCCAGTCTCTACTGGGCCTTCCTCGTACCACTGAAGTACCACGCAACTGCCCAGCCCCGCATTTCCAGGGTTTTCTGACGCTGACCTTATCCGAATCACTCTTCTGTTGTTTGCCACCCTGCACGAACTACTCAGGAAACATAAAAGTTTACAGAGCAATAACTCAAACACAAGGGCTTCCATTATGATATTCAAACACAACACGACTCCACTGCAGCCGGCCGCACAAGCCGCACAGCACAGAGCAGCGGGAAAATCATCCTAAACGGTGCTGTCCAAGAGAAAGAGATGTTGAAATTGGAAACCACAAAGCAGGTCTTTGCTCCACCATTGAATTAATATTTGCAGGACAAAAGCTCTGAATTAATCATGCTTGTTAATTAAATATGATAGAGGTTAGGTAAATACTTCCGTAGGCATTGTATGTTTATGTGCTGTGTTACGGGTCTGTGTTTGTGTTACGGGTCTGTGTTTGTGTTACGGGTCTGTGTTTGTGTTACGGGTCTGTGTTTGTGTTACGGGTCTGTGTTTGTGGCGGCATCTTTTCTACATTCCATGTTCTAGGAATCCGGTGCCGGGTTTTACCTCCCGCCTTCTGCCGCTTCCTTGATGAACAGAATGAACACCACCTGTGCCTCGCTTTGGTCCTGGTCAACACCTGAATAAAACGACTATTTGCCTGCAGTTCACAGAGGGTTTGTGTGTGTAGGAGAGCTTGTTGGTGCGCTAGCCTTGTGGTACATTTATGGTAAATGCTGCTCTTGGATCTGACCATCTCTCTTTGTATCGCGATTTGGCGTCGGTGTACGATCTTATAGTTTGTGCATTTCGTGTTTTGTCGCTTGTTAATTCTGCATACACCAAGAGTAGGGAGTGGCTGCCCTTTTGGTTCCTGTATTTGTGTTTTTGGCTCGTGAGGGAATTGTTGTTTGTCTTATTTTGGTTTTCTTTTGGTTTTGGGTAAGAAGGTTTTGTGTACCTAGTCAGTCACCTGTTTTGTTTGTTTTGGCCTCAGCCGCTCCCGGCGTTCACACTGGCGTTTCTGTTCTGCATTAAGTGTTATACACTTTGGTGAAAAGTTAGTGCTTTGTGGTTCTGGTTATTTGTGTTCCCTATGTTCCTTTTGCCCCTTTTCCTCATACCTGATATATCTCAACCCTAAACTGGGGTGTAGCAACTGTCATATTTAACGATTTAGCGTTTAGACAAACAGAAACTTCACTCGGTTGTTAAAAGCCAATAAAAAGTAGAAATGTTCATTCTCATGCATACAAAGGTTTTAGAAGCGTCAAGCTGCAATTTTGCAGCTCAGCTAAGCCGACTCCCAAAAAAACCAACGGCCCATCTATTAAAGTATGCATGCGGAGGGCTGACCCGACCCGAGACGGAGACCAGAAAATTGCAGGTTCACATTTCAGTGGACTTCTTGAGGAAAAACACACTCAGAGGTGGAGAGTTCAGACCCAGAAAGTAAAAATACAGACCAAAATTTTGTTTCATCCAACCAGTTGAGTGCATTGGCTGTGACTCTGTATACTGGCTGGTTGAAGCAAAATACTGATCTGGACTTTGACTTTTTGCACCTGAACCATCCAACTCTGCTCATTCTACACTGTTGTTCTATGGAACGACTGAACTTGTGCTACATCTCCCGATGAAGCCAAATCAACGTCGGAACTGCAGAAATAATACCTGTAATTGCTGCTTCAGATACTGCATAAATATAAATGTGTTGCTGAAGGAATGAAAAGGGCAGGTGGCAGAGGCGATATGAAGCCAGGCTAGGAGTGGGAGGATTGGAATGCCGTTTTTGTTTGTGTTTTTTATAAACGAGAGGAATGGTGGACATCTTCTTGCCGGCACCAAGAGACACATGCAGATACCTGCCTCAATCCGCCCTGCTGTTCAGGCCTGAATATACCGAGACTATGAGGGGCTGCCCGTTCAGAAAGTCACACCTAATACTGCAACTGGAGTTAAACTTCTATGCCTAACCACCAGAACTCTCGCTGCTCCACCAATCAGGTGGGAGCTTGCACGCGTACAAATCCAAGCCAGCGTCACATCTCTCAGCTTTGCAACGAGGTCATGGACGCTTATCCAGACACCACTGCATACCATCTATTCCCCAAAGACCCAGCCAAGTCCAATAGGGTACTTTTCTGGGACATGGGCTTTGCCTTGGTGAGAGAGGGTTCGGCAAGACCAGCACACACACACGATCCTGCCTGATGCTGTAAACCCATCTTCCAGCAGCAGTCAAATGCTGTGTTTCCATGCCTGTATAAAAGGGAATTAAGGCCCTCGTGCTACATCAAGGTCATTTCATTACCCTCCAAGAACACCCTAAGCCAGGGATATTCAAATCAGAGTCCTCAAGGTCTAAGCACTGCTGTTTTCCAGCCTACTTTTACCCGTGAGCCAGATGTGAAGCCTCTGACCAATCAGAATCAGTAATTACTAAACTAACTACTCGGGAGAACTGAGAACTGAAAACAAGGCCTGGATTTGGAATCGAAGTCCAGCTTTGAAGAGCCCCGCAGTAAACTAATACAGTTGGATTTTTTCCCCTACCTTTACACACTAATACTCATAATACCTTAAACCTTTGTTTTCATTCCCTGGTTTCCTCTGTGTGTTATTTACAGTTCGGCCGCAGTCTTGGCCAGGGACAGTGAACTCCTGCCTCCAAGACCTTACAAATGACAATCGGTACATTTCTGATCCTCAGAGTCTCCTCTGTAACGTAGATCCCGCAATAAGCACCCAGCTCAAACACGTGACTAGATGTCTGCACAAGATCTTCCCAGGCCTGTTTAAAACTGCCTTATTACAGAATTAACATAAAATTCAAATAACTGTAGTCTAGGGATACCGGTAAATGAGGCCAACTACCACACTAAATTTGAAAACTAAAATTGTACTGAAATACGGCAGCCTGTTATATCTACCGATTAACATTTCATTCAAATTACAGGCCCTTTTTGACCTTTATTTGCCCAAGGAAGATCAAAGTTGGGGTGGAGAAGTGGGCAGTGTTTCCCAAACACACCTCCCTGCTTGTTCCTCTCCAGCACAAAGGGCCGTCTAAGAACATTACAGTGATCTGCTTCATGCTGTCTATCCGACACCGAATCAACCTGTTCTGCTTCAGCTTAAACTAGAAGCTCTGTGAAAGTTGCGCCTTCTTTGGTAAAGGTAGAAGCATGAGTAATGAACCTTTGAAACGCGCAGAGAAACCAAAGTCGGTCTGATCAAGCACCTGCCAGGCCACGATTTCCCAGAGATGGATTTCATCACGAAAACGGAGAAAAGGCGGACGGGACATCAATGACTTTTCTAGCAAATATCTTGCATTTTATGGAGAGGTCAGGTAGAGTATCAGGTAAAGACAAGCGCCAGAAGACCAAAGCAAAAAAAAGCAATGAACTGCATCAGGTATCCTGCATATAACAAGGACATATCCTTACCAGCCTTATGTAACCAGTGTCAACCTGCAAATAGACTTAAGTGTTCACTCTGTGATGCTTTTTCTCTTTGTCAGTAACATCATATAGGAGTATAATAGTCTACCATTGACAAACAACATCACAGACTCCTTGCATTCAATAGTTAGCTACTGGAATAGCTCAAATCAATAGCCTATTAAGTGAGACATAAATTTTCTTCTTAGTATAGCAAGATGATTACATCTATCTCCCATGCCAGCGTAGTGCTATAGTGCTATTAAGCTTTTCGACTCACCTGTATATGAAGTAGCCAGTTATCTATGATGTTTAATTTTAAAATATGCCGTATTTTCCAAGAAATTAATACTATTACTACTACAACTATAACAAATAATAATAATAATAATAATAATAATAATAATAATAATAATAATAATAATTGCATGATGTGGCGCCGGGATTAACCGTACTACTAAATGTAGCCGAATCTATGTCACGTGACAGTCGGTATCCTCAGACCAGGGTCTGAAAATGGGACCAGCAGACGGTACCTGTATCAAACCCCGATCAGCCACATTCCTAGTACTGGTGCTCCTCTCCATCTGCCTAATCCTAAGGCAACGCGAATGAACACTGCTTGCCGGACTGTCCGAGTTGTAACACTTAAACAGGGAGTGATCAACGTTGCCAATCCAAAAAAAAAAAGATAGCATTCCGATAGGAAATGGGGGGGGGTGGTTGCTACTGTATGTCCAGTTCACGCTTGTATTCTGACTGCGATCCAGTGCCATTTCCACAACAGGAAGCCACACACTATAAACAACCTACATCATGAAAGATATTCATCGTTGCAATTATTATTCAGACGCAAGTGACTCTCACAGGCGAATGCTTCATAGGGGCAGACAAAAACAAAGACTTTGGTATAAATAAACTGTTGCCTGCACTCACGTTTGACAGTGATTTTTCCAATCATGCTGAAATGTGTGCACCATGGAATGTTGTTGATCGCAATTATTTTGGTGTCCTGCTTTGCAAGTCTCACCAAGCGCCCCGAAATGATCACACGGCAAAACAATGTTGCGGCCGGAGATCGCCACTTATCCCGTTTATCATGCAGACCTCAGCCTCCTTGACTCCAACCACGTTAGTCTTATACTGACCTACTGAGAAACAACCGACTGTCGCGACTCGAGAGATTTCCTTAAAAATCATAATGAAATAAGAAAAATCACAGTTACCCGGAGTTCGTCTCTCTCGGCTTCCCAGCGGTATTTTTCTGCCTGGAAACGTCCCCATTCGAACTGGATGAAATGCAAAATGCCAGGCAAGGAGAGGCCCTCCTGCGGGTCCCGCGGCTGAGAGGTGCCGGCCATCGCCCCCGCTACTGCCGCCGCCGTTGTCGTCGTCACCGCCGCCGCCGCCGCCGCTGCTGCTGCAGTCCCCGGCCCTGGCACTGGTTTCGGCCCGTTCGGATTGCGCCCCGCGCCGCTCCCTCCAGGATTCGCATTCGTGCCGCCCGTTCCTCCGGACCTTTCCGCCTCCATTACGCCGCGCGATCAGCCTCCAGGACAAGGCGGTGGGGGGGGAGAAAAAAAACGGGAGAATGCCGATAAGATCCCCTTTCCCCAGAATAGCCACCGCTCGGTTTTCCCTCTTTCTTTCTCACTCTCTCAATCGCGAAAGGGAACTGCAAGCAGTCATAGGGAAACGGCTGCGAAATAGTGATCTGGCCTCAGCGGAGCGCAGCGCTTCACAGCCGTAACCGGGGCGGCAGCTTCCTGCCACATTATGATCTCACGGCTTCTCTGCGCTCATTTCCGAAGTGGCCATGCAGAGGCTACGGCGCTGCACCTTCTGGAGAGAGAGGGGGGGAGAATAACGACGATACAAACATAATGGATTTATGGATTAATGAATGCATGCGACTTATCGGTCCTCTCCGCTGCAATGTACGTTCCGATTTCTTATTCGATTGCGTTAAAATGTCCGCATGTGTTTTTTCATTAGGTATATTTGCAAGGTATTGTGTACGAACTGTTTTCGTACGGGCTGTTAGCCATTTTAATGGGAATAAAACACGTATTTACTGTTCAGCAGGTTTGTATTCATGCGATCGCTGTTGCATGTGCGATGAGAAAAAAAATCCCACAGTCAAACCTGTCGGTTAATTTCACTTCTCCGGAGTCCGTGTATTAAAGGTTCATTGTAGAAAATGCTAATTAAGGAACTCAATGACTGCTTTATTTCTAGGGTTATCACGTTTGAAAAGTCACGTCTTAGACATTTGATCTACATTTTTTTTAAAGATACAAAATTGCCTGTGTATGTTGTCATTTAAATGCCATGTTTTTAATGCTAAATTAACGGTTTGTAATAATTAGGTACATAAAAACAGACAGCAAACGAGTGAATGGGGGAAAAAAAATTGGATGCACAAAAATGTTAAGAAATATGATTTCCATGACAATTGCCGTTCAAATATCGTCTTTAATTGTGTGACTAGTAACGTTTGATACGTGATACCCGACAGCATATTTCGCAAATATTTTTGCTGAGAAAAAAACACGTTCAGAAATCACCAGATAAATCCGAAATTTATTATGATTAAAGTGGAGAAGACAAATTTGTTATGGCTGAAATTAAGCACCTGAGATCCAAAGTGCAAGTTTGCATGTACATCAAACCCAAAGTGGAGCTGTGCCTGAAGGAAATCCATAGATGACGACGTAAAGTTCACTCAACTTCGGTGTCTTAACTCAGTGCGGATGATCATTTTAATGTGCCACACATTTGCTGGCTTCATCTAAAAGGAGCATAATATCTTGGTACATGTGTTTGGATTTGTCCTACATTTAATTTAAGTTTGACTGTCTTGGGTCAAGACAAGTTAGCACCACAGAGCAGATGGAGTCTAAGTGCGTGACCGTCTGTTACCCAGCAAATTTTCAAGAGGACTTGGGCTGGTGTAATACTGAAGTTATGACTGGTTACCTCCTATACCTCAATTAAGCAGGGGAGAGGGTTGCTGTAGTCCATACAGACGTATCAATATTTGCCTGTGTATGACTCCAAAGTGCAGTTTATGCTGTGAAGCACAATAAAAAGCAAACAATTATATACAGCATTTGCTTTCACCTTTGAATTATTTTTCTATTTCAGATGTCGCCGTAACTGGCTGAAGACATTACTTCATGGCTTTTCGGCTGAAGAAGACCAGAAGCTTTCCCTGTCCGTCTCAGGCCCTGAGTGTATGTGAAACTGTGGTATCTTCTGTCTTCAGATTTTAAGGCGAAACGCTTGCTAGCAACAAATTCTGTTTCCTTGGAATAAAGAAACCAGCGTTGCAGCTCAATACGATGGCCCCGATTGGTACTGTGACCATCCCCACCTTACCGAGCATACCTTCTGCCGTTAACACCTTGAGAGGTGACACCTCGCGTGACCTTGGTGTAATTTTATAGTTTTGTAGTTTTATCAGTCATCTAAGCTAACCTTGGCATAGCATTGATTCAAAAACCGCAGCACAAATGTTGCTACTTTCGTTTTGGACTATGCTCACTGGAGGTGACTGTGGACCACTGAAACTGAGATAAGCTCTGTCCCGGAAAATATTAATTGTGCGCACATCCTTCGATTATATCTGGTGCCGTGTTGAGAACCCGGAAGTACAATGCGGATCAGCTTCTGCCAGGGCCTCCTGACTGGGGCTATCGCTTTGAACCTCCTGATTCTGTACTATGTATCCCGGGCCCAACAGCAAATGATGGAGAAGCGGCGGGATTCTGGGAAGCCGCCTCCCAAAAAAACCCCCCTTCCGGTGTCGGGGCTCGGGGCCGCCGGAGGACTGGCTGGGCCTGTGGGGGGTGGGGCCGGTGGGGCCGGAAACGGGCGTAACCCCCGGGTGACAGTGCTGGTGCGCGAGTTTGAGGACTTCGAGAACTATGTGGGTGACGTGGCCCGCTCGTTCCTGCAGCGGAGACCCGAGGTGCCCTTCCTGGCGGTGGCCGACCTTGTGCCCTACCCGCCGCTGGCTCTGCCGGAGTCGGCTCGCCTCCTGGTGCTGTCCCCCAGCCCCGATCAGCCCCCACAGGCTCACCGGCCGGAGTTCCACGTTCAGACCGAGTACGTGCTGCTGGTGCCAGATGGCGTGGAGCTGGAGCAGGGCCGGCAGCTGGAGCGGCTCATCCGAGAGCTGGAGGGAGAAGGGGGTGGCCCTGTGCGCCTAGTGGCCACCCCGGTACTGGCCCGCTCTGCCGTGCAGTGCCTGCACCTCCGAGTCAGCTTAAGGGAGTGGACAGTGACCTACACCCCAGCCGCCTCGGGCAGCAGCGGCAGCGTCTGCACGGCCCTGCGGGGGGACGCGGTGATCCTGATGCGCTCCGAGGATCTCTTCAACTTGTCGAGCCCGCTAGCCCGCCCCCTGCTGGCTTCCCTCTTTATACAGACCTCCCTGCGCGGCTGGAAGGTGAAGCTCTTGGAGGGGCCCTGCTTCGCCGCCAGTCACCGCCCCCTCTTCAGCTCTGCCCACAACCAATGGAAAGCGGACAGCAGGCAGCGGGAGGCGACCGGCCGACTCATGCGCGACTTCGGCATCAAGCGCCTCGTCCAGCCGGATGGGAAGGAGCAGTGGTTCGGCTGTGGCAAGGAGACCGCCCGCTGCTTCGGCACGGTCAAAGACGACACGCCCGAGTACCTCTACTTGGAGCGCTGGACGCCGCCCTGCTGCTTGCGTGCCCTGCGCGAGACCACCAAGTACGTCATCAACATCTTGGAGACGGCGGGGGTGCGCTATTGGCTGGAAGGCGGAAGCCTCCTGGGAGCGGCCCGCCACCAGGATGTCATCCCGTGGGACTACGACGTTGACCTCGGCATCTACCTGGAGGACGTGCCCAACTGCGAGTACCTAAAAAACCTGGACGCCGGCTCGTTGGTGGACGCCAACGGGTACGTGTGGGAGCGGGCGGTAGAGGGGGATTTTTACCGGGTGCAGTACAGTGAGTCCAACCACCTGCATGTGGACCTCTGGCCTTTCTACGCCCGCAACGGTATCATGACCAAGGATACCTGGACGGAGCACAGGCAAGATGTTGAGTTCCCCGAACACTTCCTCCAGCCCCTGGTACCCATGCAGTTTGCGGGCATCACTGCCTATGGCCCTAACAACCACCGTGCTTTCCTGGAGCTCAAATTTGGCGAGGGGGTCGTTGAGAACCCTCAATACCCCAACCCAACGAAAAAGCGACTGGACAGAAGTCGACTTTAAAGGGAGAAATGGATGATGGGGACTTAAGTTGTGCCAAGATAACAGTCCATCATAAATAATGAACATCATGCGACTTTTAAAGCTTGTTTATTGATTTATCAACTAGAACAGCTTAGCCTGACGCTGGGGAACAATTCACGTCATCGCTGCAGCCCCCACAGAGTAATTCCATAGATCTTGCACTCATGCGAATATGCATCAGCCGGTCCTCCGACTCTCAGTTCTGCTATTATGGTCACACATATTGTAGGATACTGCCACTGTATTTATTGTCTGAAGAATAACAGCCATATGATTTGCAGCTCCCTAAAGGACCATTTCTCAATGTATGGCAAGGCTGGGCTTTCACATATGATCATGTACTCTGTCCATGACTGGAGTATACGATAGACAGGATAGCATAGCCACAACTCAATTATGTGCTCACAGTACAAGGGAATGGAGCCGTCGGCTTATATTTATATTTATTTTATATAGCTACACGTGTAGCTACCTGTGGATCCCAAACACCTTTGCTTATGAACTGGAACTGCAGAATTATTTACCTGAAATAAGAAGTAGCAACATTTGTGTATGAACTGACTTGGTAGTTCCAATAATGCCACTTACATGTACCGCCCAAAAGCAAAGAATACTGTGTTTGCGTTGTTGCACTGCTTCACTTTATTGTTCGGTGTCGCACAATCGAAACATGTACTGTATGTATATTTGCACAGTAGGCTAGTTCCCAGTTGCTGGAAACTTAGCTGCCATCTGTCAGATGCAAAACTTGAACTGTTTTCATAGCATGTCCTTGAACCAGTGTTAGATGTAAAATAATAATGGCAGGCTCTGATTGGCCACACAGCCAGTAAAGGTACCACACATATGAAATACTGTAGTTCCTTTTTTTGCTTTTCCTGAAGTGGCAGATGTAGATACCTGTCTGGTACATATTTTCCACAGCCAAGTCTCATTCTCACTGTGGGGTGAATGTGGTGAAGCGCTAATTGTGCCACGTTGCACAATGCCACACGTGTAGATGTTTTAAGACGATTCTCCTTCGACCACTGTCGTCTTACACCCCTTTCAAATAAAAATAATTGCCTCTGTCGTTGTGTTTTCCGAGCGCGTTGTCCAGCTACGATGATCACCAAAAGATCTTATTGCAGTACATCGGTGTCCCTATTTAGATGTTACAATTCCCTATTTTTTATTGTATTGTTACAATCTTTTGACTTTTAGATGTTAAAACTTCTAAATTATGGGGTGACATAGTGGTATCTGCGGGATTGTGGGCTGGCTTCCTGCCCCCAGCTCTGTGTACAGTTTGTTTATATTATTTCTGCATTATATTCCCCCCAATTAGTTGAATTGATCTCTCCATATTTACAGTAGTGTGCTATGGTGAGACTGCACTGTGAAAGACTGGCATTCCGTCTAGGGCACAGGTGTCAGACTCCAGTCCTGGGGGGCCAGAGTCCTGCAAATTTTTGGGTTTCCCCTCGTTTAACACACCTGATTCAACTTCTTGTGCTAATTACCACACAGCTGTTGAGCTGAACCATTTGTGGTGGAACAGGGAAAGAACTAAGCTACACAGGGCTGCGGCCCCCCAGGACTGCAGTTTGACACCCCTGGTCTAGGGTGTAATTCACCGGCTTCCAGCAGGTGGCAGAGGAGCCACATATATTAAACATTCACTCCGGCTCATGTTCCACTATAAAATCAGAACCAAACAAAACAGAAATATGGAAACAATTTTTATTTCAAGTATGCAGACAATATGATTTCCAAACAGCTTTTTTTTGTAAAATAAAATAAAAATGTGTTTCATGTGAAATGGTCTATAATAGATAGACCTAGATAAATAATAGACCTGTGAGAAAATGACTCGAATATGAATAGCCGGATTACAAGTGCATATTTTGGTTGAACAATGTTGGTATTTAGAAAATCATACCAAGAAACAGTAAAGCAGGATTGATTTGACGTTTGTTTATAACAGTCATACTATTTAGTCAAACACGTACATCAATTCTGACTAGGAGTAGCTGTTAGAATGACTAAGTGACATTCCAGATATGAATGATAAAATAAAACCCCATTCACGACATCTATATTAAATAGATCAAATCATAAGGAAGTCATGGATTGATGGTTATGAAAAAGAAACTGAAGAATTTACAAAACTGAGTAAATAACGATTTTATTTACAGTAAAAACGGAGCACAATTCGGACAGCAAGTTCTCTTTGGCCGTGGCTTATGAAGCCATCAAACAGAAAACGTACGGAATGTTCTTAAAGCTTCTCCTCAGACCGACCTTTCACTTCAAAATGTATTCACTATATCGGACAAACTACATGGCAAACGCGCTCATGAACACACATGGTACCGCGGACGTTAACTAACGTGACAACGCATGAGCAACATACACAGACACGTCATAATTATCACACACATGCAAACACGTGCGGACAATTAACTGAAATAACTTAAAAGATCACGTATTATCAAGGCTGCGGGAAAACAACATTAAATGTTCTTAAAAGTTCATTAACGAATTCTATAACATTGATTTTAAAAACCTTTGGAAATATTTTTTAAAATATAAAGGAGTCACCCAATTTGGCAAGCAGAACATTGCACAGATATCAGGTTCCAAAACCAACCTTACGTCTGTGAAACCCTGACCCCCCCTTTTAGAAAGAGTGGTAGGTATCATATCGCAGAGTGCAGAAGTCTGATCTAGCTTATTCTGGTTTGAACCGACTCAGGCGATATGAATAAACGGATGCAGGAGGTGCTAGAGAAAAATAAATCATCCAGACTAAATTAATATAAAGCACCACCATGCATTTTTATTCAGGGGCGCGGTAAAATGGTGGGGGGAGGGGGATGTAGGACATTTCAAGGCCCCTTGAAGAACAGGGACCCTAAAAAAAAATTGGAACACAGTGGGGTTGGTCTGGGTTGGGGACCCAATATGATATGATTTCATGAGGCCCAAACATTGGAGCAGGTGCCTCTGTGTCTACTCTACTGGCCTTCAATGTCACCCTTGCTTGCCATGCCAGGCAACTAATTTGGTTGGAAATAACCCAATAACCTCTTCCAGTGTCACATGACAAAGCCCCATATATAGCCCCTGTGGAACAGATGACGACTGAGCTTCGGAAAAGGGTTAGTTCATCTATTCCTCTTTTTTGAATGTATAACCACCATCCAAATAATATGGAGGAGCTTAGCTTAGAGCCTGCTATTAGCTTTTGCAATCTTACCTGTCACACCTGACCAGGGCCGAGTGATATCACATGGCGATTTATTTGTGATTACTGATGTTCTTTTAAAAATAGAAGTATTCAAGTTGATATGTGCTTTCATAATTTGGTCAAAAGTAAGGAGTGAATGTCCTAGCTGAGTGACACTCTCTTTGGGTCAGGTGAAGCAAGTCAGACCTGCCTACATGACAGACTCTTCCACATTGAGTCGGACTGGCGCCCCGTCTTCAGTCTCGCCCCTGCTCTTGATGATGAGGGGCGAGTCCTCGTGCCTGACTGACACGACCTCAACCAGCGCTTTCGGCCCGTCTTTGCGGGCGCTGCGATCTACAAAGTGCTGCAGCAGCCCCGCTCCAAAGGCATCGCCCTCCACGTTGAGGATGGTACATGTGCGGTCGCTGTATCAAAGGGTGGAGAGACACCATGATGTCATAAAGGATTAAGACTGAACGAGACACGCTGTATCTACACTGCTACTAGACAAAGACTCCTTCCATTTAAAACTTCAAATCCCTTTCCGTGATTGCTCCTTCTCCCACTCAGCCAACTCTGTTGCCCAAACTTACACTAGCCAATCCACGGCAAGAATGAGGGAGATGTCGCTGGTGGGTAGGTTGATCGCTTCCAAGATAATGGCCAAGGTGAGCACACCTCCGGCAGGGATCCCAGCAGCTCCCACACTGGATGCCGTCGCTGTCACTCTGATGGAAGGGGACGCAGGACAAATTCAACGTGCAGTACCAAGATGCCTATCAAAATATCACCAGAGATCATTCACAATTCAAGAAACAAGAGTTTCACACTCACAGGATTGTGATGACCTGGATGAAGTTCAAGGAAACGGAGTTGAGCTGGGCGATGAAGACAGCGGCCACGCACTGGAAGAGAGCAGCTCCATCCATGTTGACGGTGGCCCCGATGGGCAGGATGAAGCGGCTGATGTGCTTGGACACGCCATTGTTCTCCTCCACGCACTTCATCATCAGGGGCAACGTCGCCGAGCTGGGTAGGGAATAGGAGGGCAGAGAATGTGTCAGAGGGAAGGCAGAACGGACGAGGCAAAGAAGGGGAAGTCAGGGGGAGAGGGCAAGGACATTATGAAGACAGAGAATGGAATGGAGTGTGTTAAGATGAATCTTTTTAGAACGTGCAGAGAATGAAGGAGAAGAAACTATGTGGACAGAAATGGACCCTCTACAAGAACAGGGCATGAAACAAGGAGGAAAATCAGGCAAGATGGTCTACAGGTTTAGAGGAAATCCACTCTGACTTGAGAGCCCAAAAGAGATGCAACAACAATGCTTCCTAGACACATTAAACCAATAGCGACAGAAGCTGGACTTTCTACCTAGATGAGGTCCCAAATGCGGTGGCCAGGGCAGTGAAGATCCCCCAGAGGAAGCGGTACGGATTCTTGCGGGTGATGACGAAGTAGATGAGTGGTAGGACCAGCAGTCCGTGCAATGCATGCCCGATCATGCAGCATGCGATGTACTTTCCCAGACTGGTGAACAGCATGGCAACATCTTCCATCTCCACGATCTTTGCTGCAACCAGGAACATGATACCAAAAGGAGCATACCTGGGGGGGGGGGGGGGGGGGAATTGGTCAACAGGGGCAAGATTCATCATGCGATCATCAAATCAATTCATGCGGCATCTACGGAATTCTTATTTTCGAAGAATTTAAACAGGAGAGCATTCATATACTCTGGTATCCCATTCACAAAGAACGTCCAGCAACACAAAGCTCCATGCGTCCACTCACCACATGATCCAGGATACCAGCACCATGGTGGCCTCATTGAAGGAGTTGAAGAATTTGATGAGGATCTCGCCCTCCTGTCCAAGCTTGCGCAGTGCCACACCAAACACGATGGCAAACACCACCAGGCCCAAGATGTTCATGCCGTCCACATCCTTGCCGACTGGCACCTAGTGGCACCAGGAAGAAGAAACTTAAATATAACTACTGCCAACCTATGTACTAAAAAGGGCTTGCTTCTATATAAATGATATTGAGCACCAGAGTTGGGTAATTCACATCTAAAGAGTTAAATGTCCAGACCGGGATTTTGTTTCAACCAACCAGTTGAATACTCTGATTGTGACTCTTTATGCTCAACTGGTTGGTTGAAACAAAATCTTGGTCTGAACTTATATTCTCTGGACCTGAACTACTCAAGTCTGCTGAGCACACTACACATATTCATTCATAGAAAGGCACCCATTTGCAGCATTTCAGATGCACACTAAACAAAATTAGACAAAAGCTAATCAAACAAAACACCATTGAAACAAGGCAGGAACATCACTAACAAAACACCCTGAGATAAAGGTACAGCTAAAATTAGCACATAAACAATGGTGCTGCTAAACCTTTTTTTTTTTTAATCGACCATATATATACACACACACACACACACACACACATACACCATCATTTGAACACAAAATATGGATTTAGGTTATTTGAATTCTATTTTCCGAAAGAGTCTGCACTACAGAGAGCACTACAGGTTGACGTGTATGATACTCCAACTTTACACATCAGTTATTTTGAGGACTGTTTGGTTGTACGTTTAATATGCAGTTTCTGACTAAGCTATGTTGAATTCCGACTGAATACAAGATAGCCCCCCAAGGCTGAACACATAAATAAATAAACTGGAGAAACACACAGTTTTTTTTTTATTCAAATAATGCAACTAAACAGACAAGCAGACACACAGAGATGTCCTACACAAATACATGTATACCATCGGACACGCAAGAAGCATCGTTCAGGACACAACTACAGTGTATGGAGTGACTCACCCGATCGAAGGTGGTGCTTAGCACAAAGCCTGTTTCATTCATTTTGTTTGTGGTGACATTTTTGTAGCTGGTTGCATACTGAAAGGCAGAAAGAACATCTAATCATTAGTTATTCTATATTTCCTCAGGAAAGCATTCCAATTTCCATAGCTCTTAGTTTATAGATCCAACTATACCAGCGATTCTCAACCCATGGGTTGAGACCCAAATTAGAGTTGTGGCAAGTTCTGAAGGGTCCTGAGCTTTTTAAAACCAGCAAGCTCCATATGCTGATCCACGATCAGATTTCCCAGCCCAGTCGTAGAATTAACCTATGTAAACGGGTCTTGGGTCTACAAATACTTAGCGCAAAACTAGTGAACACTCAACCAATCCAAAAAGCCAAACCATAGATGATTAATTTAAAATTGACTGGCACATCCAATCAGATTTGTTCCATAGGCATTTATTGGTGCAAATTGTAGAGTGCACTGCATGCTTAATTTGAACCTGTACTTGATATAGAGTCGTGACTGAGCTGGGATGGTAAAAATTGGATCGCGGTGCAAAAAAGGTTGAGAACCACTGATGTATACTTATTCCATGGTAACAAACAACACATAGGGCAGATTAAACTTAGGTCAGGTTGGATTGGGGAGCATGCACTAGTGCAGTGCGTTGCCGCACCCAACCCCAAAACAAAACACCTTGGACATATTTCGAAATTATTAATACTAACAAGATAGTTGTGTACCTTTTTAAATGTTTGGCAAGAAGGACAGCAAGACTGTGTATAAAAGGCTCCTTGCTGGTGTGAATTAGGCGACTCACCGATTGAAAGGCTGCTGCCACCAGGTTGGATGGGAAAATGTTCCTGAAGAACAAAAACACGGGATGAGACTTTAGCGTCAATCTAACTAATACATCGACTAGTGAAGTGCAGAAAGGAACACGAGGGAACTCATATTATGGGTAGGACGTCACAGTCTTCTAAAAAATAGCAAGCAAATAGATCACACTTCCACTTCTACAATCCTGAAGACAGCCTGGCCCAATGGATAGAGACAACCCTCGGTGAGAGATTCTCTGCCCTCCACGGCTTCTGCCCTACAGTCCTGGGTTTTTACGTAGCAGACATGGTGGAAAACAGCTACCCAAGCCTTATCACTACAAATACATGCACTGCTGGAAGCTTCTGACGTTACCTTGTTCAAACCTAAGCCACTATGAACTATAATCCATTTGCCTTTGTGTCCTGGAGGATCTACCACTCCACATCTCCATGCCGTCTCTCGGTTTGCGTTTTTTCCAGCTGAACCAAAACCCAAATTATAAGCCAAAATGAGAAAACACTGAAGCCATGTCTACACTTGGGTTTTAAAACGCATCTTGGGCGATCAGATGACAAGTGGATAGTCGAGGCACATCGCCATTTACACCTGTGCCTATCATGCATCTCCATGGTGTCCAGCTGACCGCTTGTGTTCAGATTTCATTACTGCCTATGTCAATTCCACCTGAAGGTCAAATGGCTCCATGCACAGTTATCGTGATGCCCTTGTCGGGGACGCATCAGGACGCATTTGCATTTTCACTATTAAAGAAATGTGGTCAAATGCATTCCAGACCACTTCAACCAGTGGTTTGAGTGATCGGGTCACAACAGGTCTTGATGGTCATTTACACTTGTATTTAGTGCTTTCCACTTATGAACAGATCGGCCTACTCACCCCATCGGCCATGATGCATTTTAAAACCAAGTGTAAACAGGCCCTCAGAAGCCTAAAACAGATGCTGGAATATAATCCACAGGATACATTTTTTTTGCTAGTCATTTTATCACAAGCCCTTCCTGTTTCACCGGAAGGTGTAAATACAGAGTATTTTTGGACGTTCCGAGTGACCGTGCACAAGACGTTAGGCTGCAAGACTTGCAAGCTAGTATGAATGAGTCAGTGACTCAGTATGTAGAAGGGGGTCCATACTATATTTAGCGAAAGCATTGGGAAAGTCTGCCTGTACATTTCAGTAAAGCTATTCGCACATGTCAGGGTGGGAACTTTGTGTCCATGGAAACACATATCCCTGGCAGCACATGGAGCCTTGGGTAAGCGCTCCACGTTTCAAGCACTGTAGCAAATTTCATCAGGTGAGCCAACACCTGCAGTACTCAGAGTGCTACTGTTATCAGCTTGAGCAAATGAACCCTGCCAGTTATCAGAGTACACTGCATGTTTGTCTACACCCCGTGCCAGATGACTACAGCCCCATTCACAGTGCACCTTCCTTGTGTCTGTGTCAGGAAGAGCAGCAGGAAGAGCGACGGAATCCCATTACTGTCAGGAACTGGAGATCTGGGAGAAGTCCTAGCTAATGTAACACTGCAGACTCAAATATGGCTTGCAAGAAGACAGCTGAATGATCTTATAAGGTCATCCTATTTGGCAGGCCTGTTGCGCGATAGTCCAAGAGAGTAATAACCAGAGTGAGATCTGCCCAACAATCAGCTAGAGTGAAAAGGCTTGTTTTGGCCAATGCTGAAGTCTGTATCATACCCCATAATTGAATTCTATTGATTTGTACAGTTTTAGTCAATACTTGAGCCTCAACTGGATGGTGTGAGGAGGCATTGCGGATTGTTACGTGAAACTCAGAACATCATTAACAGCTTACCTTAGTTTTTAATAGGGTATAGACCAGGGGTGGGCAATCTTATCTGCAAAGGGCCGGTGTGTATGTGGGTTTTCGCTACAACTCCCTAATTAGATTACTAGATTACTAATTAGAGGACTGATTGGCTGAAGTGTCCTCACACCTGGGTTTGAACAGCTGACCTACAGGTTATCCTAAAAACCTGCATACACACCAGCCCTTTGTGGATAAGATTGGACACCCCTGGTACAGACTCTTGGTAGCCTCACCAAAACATCAATTAGTAAAAAAAACATTTTCCAATATGGCAGATCCGTCTTGGACACTAGTCTCACAAGATGTACCCATTAAGACATCCAGGCCTCGTTTAAAGACGTGCATGTGCACAGCACATGTGTCACGTGGGGCCTACGGTTCATAAAAAGTTCTGCCTGTGCAAGACGGTCAGTTTCATTGTAAACTGTGTCACTCATTAACTGCACAGTCAGAAAAGTACTGGTTTCCAAGGAAGAGGAGTATGACTTCAAAAGAAGACAACTGAAAAAGAAAGACATTGACACACTCACATAGACACTACATCTACACAGACACTACATCTACTCAGTAATGTCACAATGCTCCATTTTGTGAATCCTAATAAGTCAAACAACTTCTGATATCATGCATCTTTTCCTACATGACAGCCTTGCGGAAAGTTACTATAACCAACAAACAATACAATGACCAATGGATGAGGAGGGTGGGAGCAAGAGTCATATGACCACTGGCATATTCACTGGCCAGCCAAATCAAGACATACAGTAAATGCTGGAGTTTCCTTTACTAAGTTCCACTCATCAAAATTCCATCCTTTGTGATGAAATGTGTAACGCACAGGATGTCCTGCCAGTTAGAGGAATTGCCCATAATTAGTGTCCAAGCAACTGGTCCACATGGTGTAAAAGTTACTTTTCTGGGTAGGCAGTTCCCCCCACCCCAACTTACTCTGAGGGGAAAAAAAAGCAAACTGGCATCACACTGACACAATGCTAAAGTCGGCAGTTCCAGTTTGACTAATTTAGATTTGATACTAAATTTGATACTCTCTCTTCCTCCTATACACAACACAACTGTTTACAATACACAAGGAATAAGGTAGTAATTCGTCAAGAGTATGTGTCATACACGACCTTTCAGGTATGACGTAGGGGTTTAACTCGCGAATCTCCCCCTTTGCGCGGAATTCCGCAGACTGGCGATACCACACACGTGCTCACAGTAACCTTTTAAATGAATATGAAGCTGTGAAGTTGGTTACTTACTAAAAAAATGGGGGGAAGAAAAATACAGTACAAAAAACGGCAGTCGGTTAACTTGGATTGAATTGGATTTTGTGCGTGATATTATTAGTTTATTAATTCGGGAAGCGCATACGTGTGACGGCGGTGCTGTTTATTTCCTGGTTTCACAGCCAAGCCGGATGTCCCTTATATTAGTGTCTGTACTCTGAATTAACTCTCGATTGGAGTAACAACTTAATTCAAATACGTATTAAGAATGTAGCCTAACGCTCAGCAATGACTCAATATCGGTAGCGCTCTTGAAACGCTAAAAATTGTTGTGTTATCAACTTACCTAAAATAGACAACAAACTACATTTCGCAATTAGTCGCACAAATGCGGATAGCCAGGAGAGAAAGTGAACAAATGGTCTACGATGTTTACTCAGCTCGATTGGAATCGTACGTTGTCTTTGATCGCAATCCAAGGTCATAATTAAGAGAACAGATGGTATAAAATTTAACAAAATGTATGGTCCACCCGTGCGGGGAAATTTCTGGGTTTGGTTTAAATGATAAACTGATTTTTAAAATGACTTTAATGGTGTACACAGAACCGCAAAATATATAACTCCGCCCTGCTTGACGATTTATATCCTTATGAGGTCTATTATAATCAACTACAAATTGTTACAGCTTACTCATACACGAGTGTTGAGTCATAATTACCAAAATATACAGTATTCCTCCAATCATCTATATAAACTGATGTATATAAGTATATCTATATCTGTTTTCTGAAGAACAATTACAGGTACTGCTTTGGTGCGGTCTATTTTAAAATCATACTCCATCTGTCCCTAAAGGCAACAAGAAAGGACAACCACATGTGTAACCAGCACTCAGATGATGCAACACTCCAGCACTATTAGCTATAACTAACCCCATGCCTAACTGCGACCGGGTCAGTTATTTCACACAGAATCGGTAAAATAAAATAATCTTATATTCAGGTAACTAACCCGAATACGGGGGGTGGTGACCGAATATATATAATAATATATAGGCATAATTAGTTTGTATCACAACTGAGAATTAAGTATTTAACCGCCCATATGCTAACAACGGTAATGGCATCGTATTAATTAAGAAATTACACTATAAATACTAAAAGACAAAAAAATGCGACTAATTTGAACTAATTTAAACCATTGTTCCTTTGACGAAAAGTATCTTGTTTTATTGTCCTGGCCACATTAAACACCTAAGCATTATTATTAATTAATTAAAATCGCTTAATTGAAATTAATCATAGGTATTTCATGGTTGTTATATAAAAACAACGGACGTCCGAAATAAATAATACTGAAGATACACATGCCGAGGGAGTACATATAAAGCCGGACGCTGAAAGCGTCCACGTGTCTCCCAGCTTGTACACTGCGTACTCCACGTGTAAATTACGTAGACATCTGTCAAGCTTAGACTTGGCAGTCTGTCCCTAAATGTGCCCCGCTTGACGATTTATTACCTTATGAGGTCCAAGAAGGAGTCTATCACATCTTTAGCCTGTGGCACTTCATCGGATGCCGAGATCATGGGTTTGGAGACGGAACCAGGCTGAATGATAAACGCCATCACTACCCCGATGGCTGATGCAATTAAAGTTGTCACTAAAAAGAAGAGCATCGCCCAGCCGCCTACTTTGCCCAGTGCTTGGGGATCAATGCTGGCCGCTCCAGAGATGAGACTGCACACAACCAAGGGAATGATGATCATCTTCAACATGCGTATCAGAAGTTCGCCTGGGAACCCGAAGTAGATCACTTGCGCCTTATTAAGTTCTGCGCTGCGGACGCATAGTCCAATTATCACGCCGATTATAACACCGGTTACAGTCAATATCACCAGCAAGTTCGCCAAAACAATCCTTTTCACTCTGGCCGACGGTGACTTCGGTTTTCCTGTCTCATTGCCTTGTATCATTCCGTTTGCCATTGCTGGCTCTTTATCATTTGCCGCCTTTTCCTCTTCCATTGCGACAATTTCTGCCATTCCGAGTTCTGTCAGTAAAACTTAAAAGCAAAAGTGATGAATCCCGAATCAGATTTCAGTGTTGCTAGGTCTATTGCACGGATCAAAAAAACCTTCTGTGCCTGGGTTTGCACAAACGTCCTCCTGTCTCCTCCGGAGTAGTGCACAATGTAACCTTCGCCGAGCGACTGCTCCGTTCTGTGACAGACCACAAGCAAATAGGGCTGCCCCCGTGACGTCAGAGGGCGGTCTTACAATTCAATAAGGCTGACCTATTCAAATAGCAGCCCGGGCAACACGCGGCCCAAAAGTAACCTCTGTGTGGCCCCGCGCAAAGCAAAGCTTCCAAAAATTACTAAATAAATAACTACAGTAGAACAGATTAATTAATTTATTCCAAGAAAAATTAATTTCATCCGAGAGTGGCGTTAGAGCCAATCAATTCTGAATTCATAAATATAACATTCCGCGCTGCATAGCAAGTTAACCGACAATCCAGCGTCTTGACGTGTTGAACGTCGGTAGTGAGCTAACATGTCTCACTCAAGCCTGTCCGAAAAACGTGAAATTGACACTGAAAACCGACGGTTTAACCCCTCCTGGACAGATAAATACTTGTTTATTTTACCGCCAAATCCGAACGCCAAACCGCTTTGTTTAATTTGTAATTAGTGCGTTGCGGTAATTAAAGACTACAATGTGCGAAAGCACCACTTTGAGAAACACCCCACCGTCTGCACCAACTTTCCCGAGGGGCAAAATGTAATTGCATCTTACAACTGGAGCTGTACTACCATGGTGCGCTCATGCACAGTCCAAGCCAGAGCTACAGCAGCCTCTTTACGTATTTCCTGGATCTTGGCAAAGAATAAAAAGCCATTCACAGACTCCGAAACTGTGAAAGATTGTATGCTGGCTGTCGTGGATGAGGTGATAAATGATGAGGAAATTTAAACGAGTGTGGTATCTGCTATTAAAAACGTACCCCTGTCAGACACTACAAACATTCGCATAATTGAAATTCTGGCGACAGACGTGTTTGAAACGTTGTTAGAAGCCCTGAAAAAAGCTGATGTTATGTCTACAGCAGTAGATGAGTCCACAGACAAAACGGATACCGCGCAATTTTGGTTATATGTCCGTTTTTTGACGAAAAATGCTTCCGGGAGTAACTACTCGGCTTACTGCCGTTAGAAGGACACACAACTGGCGCAATCGTCTTTGAGAAAATTTCAGCCTTTTTCAGAGACAATGGCCTGGATATGAAGCGCGTGTGCATGCTTGTGACGGATGGAGCTCCATCCATGGCAGGAAAAGTGAGTGGTTTAGCAGCACGTCGGTCCGCTGTTGCACCTCAGATGACATCTTTAAATGTAGGACTTAAAGGCAGAGACAAAACGGTCATCGAACTTGTGGAAGAGATGCGCGCATTTCAAGTTAAACTGGACCTTTTTGCTACTGACTTGGGCACAGGTCGAATGCTGCATTTTCTGACGCTCCGCAAATGCATTGCATCCCCGGTACAAATCACGAAGGTGATGACGGGCTTCATTGCGAAGTTGAAAGATAACTTTGCTAGTAGATTAGACGGACTTACTCTGGCCACAGAGGTGATGTGTTTTACAGAGATCAATTTTCTGTAGCAACAGGTGGGGATTTATCCGCCAAAGCAAAGGAAACGGTCCCCTCCATTGAAGAGGGTAAATTCATTCTCGAACTTGTTGACATGCGGTCATCCGTAACCATGGTACAGGAGCTTCACACTTAGGGCGCTGCAAGGTTTTGGGCTGACGTCAACGTACATCAGTTCCCTAACATTAAGAAATTGGCACTTCTCATGCACAGCATGTTTGGATCAACATACACGTGTGATTCAAGCTTTTCGCACATGAACTCAGTTAAGAGCAGCTCTCGTTCGTCCCTGAGCGACAGTACTCTTCACCAATACCTGAAATCTAACGAACCAAAAGTTACTGCCCTGGTTCAGAACAAAAAATGTCACTTTTCTCACTAGGAAATACAACAGGGTGAGTGTAACGTACATATTAACATAATGTTGCATGTCTAATAAAGCCAGGATTAAAAACTAATTCCTGTACCCTCAGTGTGCAGTATTCACATGTTAAAGTTTGTAAGTTAACACTGTACTTATGGGTAGTGCATGGATAGCTTGGACAGCATTAATAGTTCTATGTGATTTTGTTAAATGCATGTTTTGAGTGCCTGTGCTGTTTCAAATGTTATTTCTAATGCTGTGCACTAATTTGTTTCAATGCTCTTTGACCAAAATGTTTTTTTTTAAGTAAAGAAAAAAGAATAGCTTTTGTATTGTTTTGTGCACATTTTGGTGTGCCTGTGTCATGTGACCAAATTCAAAAATGAAAAACAATAAATAAACATTACTTGTTTTTCAGTATATTCAAGGCAGTGTCATTACCTGGCCCAGTTAAATTTATTGGTTTGAAAATCTGGCCCAGCTGAATTTGTAATTGAATAGCCCTGCTATAGATTGTATGTATACATATTAGAGTATTTAAAATGGCTTTGACTGTCATTATAAACACGTGAAAAGGACGCTTAATATGCACACTTATATAAACACGTTGTAAATTTTGATGTTGGTGCCGGTGTTCTGATGAGATGAGCTACCTATCGAGACGTACTATCGAGCCTTTCTGCACATGTTCAGTTCCACCGTCTTGGGATTAGGGTTAGGTTTTAGGGGTTTGGGTTAGGTTAAGGGTTTTAGGGGTTTTTGGGGGGTTAGGGTAAGGGCCAGGGTTAAGGCTATCGATTAGCACTACGTTAGCCTAACTCGACAAAGTAGTTCAACTTGACAGAACACCACCTCTTATGTATCCAGGTTCAGGCTATTACGCAACATGTTGCAAGCATAGGAGACTGCAGAGCCGATTTTCCACCTGTTGAACATTGTTGGCTTTGAACAAACACCACACAAACTGGGTCCTTAGAGTTATGGCTCATTCATTTAACGTATCAATTGTTTCAAGTGGTATGAGAATTAGGTCATTCAAATCCTCAGCGGCTATTTTGGACTGTAAAAGTAACGCGGGCCCTTAGCTAGTGGAGGAGCTGAGTACCACAGATGTAATGTACGGGGAATGAGGGCATGAGGCTGTTAAGGCTGAAACAAAAAAATTCTCATAAATAACAGGAGATGTACTTTTAAGGTTGGCCAGTGATGCTTGGAAAAATCAAGGCGATGTTAATAAGTATTCTAAAGAATCTTATTTTTAATATATCCTACATCATAAACCTGGGCCGTTGTGAGACATAAACGGGCACAGCCACCCCAGCCCCCATTACCCGTATGATTTGGTCGTGAGATTTTACTGTGGCACATGCTCCAGTAAAAGGGGTCTAGTGACACCCATGTCATGAACCATAAGATCAATGAAAAAAAAGTACTGGTGGTTAGAGGAATAAATGTGACTAATCCGTATCTGAGAGACTGGGCGTTAAAGGAAATCATTTGAATGGCTAAGGTGGAGTAACTCGTTCAACAACAAAGCCCCTCTTAGAAACATTAACTGACAAACTTGTCTCACGCAGGGGTTGGGCAGCCTTGTATATTTCAGAATTTGGGACATTAGTAGCACTGACTTGCATACTCAGAAACACGTAATCTGATTTACATATAAAATGGATTCCGTTATATGTTAAATTCGTTTTAGCTGAAAGGGTGGATGAAAACAAAAGGAGCCAATTTTCCAAGCGTTCAACGCCTTTGACCCCTTTGTTAGCTCTCTTTGTTATTTAAGGTGTTGATTTATAATACCTTCATATCACCTTTTCCACACACCCCTCAAGCCACACAAGCTCATCCGAAGTTAAAGGGTAGCATAGTGAACACATTAGCCTCACTGCTCAGGACTATTTACCTAAAGTGTGTGACGTTCTGGTGCTCAGTATGATTGCCTGTGGGATTAGAATTGACTTATATCATGAAAAAAACATGATGCCATGGTGTATAACTGCTTTTATGGGATACCCTTCTTATGGATATATTTTTACTAAATACGCAAGGGCCCATTTCTAAGCACCACGCTCGTGTTTTCACAGAATTGTTGTTTATCCAGTCCTCCTGCATGACTGACATTTCACAGAGGCACAAACTAGTGCCAAGGCAGCAGCAGAAATCTGAGCTTCCTGCCACGAGGGCCGATCACGGAGCTGTAAACGTGTCCGACTTCGTGAAAACATTGAGTCCAACCATGGCGACCCCCCCTCAAAACTCTGTCATGTTGTTCTTGATGCAGTTTACTACTTCCCCAAACACCTAGACTTTGTCAATTTCATAATCTGTCAAGATATGTGGAAAACATTGCAAAATTCTGTCATACAAAAACACATTTCTCTATTTGAAGCAGGAGATATTGCAAAATATCAGATATAGCACAGTTATAATTTTTGCCAGCAAAAATCCATCTTATATTATTAGCCTGTCCGACGCAGAACCAGAAGGATGTTTTTCACATTCAAGCCATAAAAATAGTCTGTAATATTATTGTGCAGTGCTGGTAAAGTTATTTTATCGGTAATTAAATGCTCTTTGCGTGATAACATTCAAATCATAAAAAGATGGGTCTTATTAACAAGGCTTGGCCGATGGTTGGAGGCATTTAGGTGGAGCCTAGACTGGTTTAAATTCCATAATCAGATCTAGTAGCAGTTTAAATCTTCAATAATACTTCCCTCTGGCAGACAATTAGTTAAAAAAAAATAAGGTAATGAATATTGGATTACTCTGGAGTTTGGCGAGAAGGCCTTTTTTGCATGTAAATAAAATTCTCCAGTAATGAAAGTAAGAGGACTTTCACACGAGAGTGTACAGGCATGAAGGATAAGAAAATAGAGAGTGCATTCATCAAACGATCTGCTTTGTGAGTTGTGAGAGTCTGCCTCTGTACAGTGGCATTGTGGCTACTCAGGCCCCTCTGCCGACCCGGTAAATCGATAGGGCATCATGTGACCTCGATAAATGGGACTCAAGAATGGCCTGCCACAATGCCCCACGGTGTTCGGTGTCGTGAGAAACAGAGGCCATGGACGGAGGAGGCGAAGGAGGAGGCGCTACAGCAGTCAGGAATGGGCAGGAGGGGCTGATATCATCTCTCTGCACCTGGCCATTTCCACTCCCCCTCCATATCTCCTAGTCCAGTCACCCCCCCCCCCCCAAAGCACAGAACC